CCTGAACCCAGATAAGCAGCAGGGAGGAGGGCACAGGAGGGCAGCAGGGTTATGTGAGGAGTTAATGAACACACCTCCCCCTGGCAGGCCCGGAGGTCCTAGCAGGAGACCAGGGTTCCAAGTTCTCAAGCGCAGGTGGCTGGGGCAAGCAGAGGGAACTCCCATAGACAGACCTCTAAAATTCTAGGGAACAGTACTAAAGGGCTGGAGTTCATAGGGCTCCCTTCTCTCCTTAAGTGAATGGGGAAGGGGTTAAGGATCCATGGCCCAAGGCCTGGCTCTATCACTAAGGCTGAGCTCCAAAGGGACTGAGACCCATAGAAGAAACCCGAGGCTGGGTCCATGCTGGGAAAGAGGAGGGGGCAGACCCGGCCCTAGGGAGGGGGGCTCCTCAGCCTCTGCAGGGAGAGATCAGATCCACACTGAAGACCCCGCGACAGCCCAGGCCTGGGAGGAAAAGGCAAGGAGGAGTAGGCCTGCCAGATCAGTCCTACTCAGTGCTTACCCTGAGGGCCTACTGTGTGCTGGCAGTGCAGGACAAGGCTCTTCTTCCAGGCTCTGTCTGGAATAGCAGGCCAGCCAAGCCTCACATGCTTGGTTTCTGGTTCTGCCCACAAGTGCAGCATCCGGGTGCTTCTATTCCCCTGTGTGGAGTGGGATGCTGAGCCTGGCCGGCAGCTCTCAGCACCGACCTGAACAGCTCAGCAGGAGGTGGATGGAGAAGGACTCACTGAGGGGATCCTGGGCTGGACGGTAGCACTGACCGCTCACACTTTTGCCATGGGACTTTGGAGAACATGGGAGGGAGATGGGGGCACCAGTGTGTAGGGGACTAGGGAACCTTACTTTATGTTGTGGCTATGACCAGCAGGCAGGTTAAAGCTCAGCCTGGGTCTGGACCGAACCTGGGCTCTGTGACTGCCTGCACAACAGCAACTAGCTGCCTCAGTTTCCCCTCTATGAAGATAGCATTCTCAGCCTCCCAGGGAAGGTCCACAGCTCAGCTGGAGCCCGGTGGAGAATGGCTCACTGAGCAGAGCCTACAGAGGACACCTGGAGGCCCTTGGGATGAATGGTCAACTGAATGGCCAACTTCCTCCCTCAATTCCTATGCAAACAGGAAATGAACCTCTCCCCCCAACCTGCACCTGACCAGGTGTCTGTGTGCATGTGCTGCTGTGACCCCAGGGCCTGGCCATTCTTCCCTGAACAGTTTGTGGTGCCAGCCCATCTTGAAGCATGGAGGATGGAAGGTCTATGGCCCTTCAAGCTCTACCTCAGAAAGCCGCTGAACAGATTCGCTCATGTCAAGAGCCTAGTGTGATAAATGCACTGTGGGGGCCTCTAAGAATTGCCACCTGCTGAGATCACAGACCAGATCTCCATCATCGTCCCTGCCCTGGAAACTTTTACATTGGGATCTCAAATCCTGTTCGTTTTGATTAGGAGAGGTGGTTACAGTCAAGTGCAGCATGCCGTATAATAATTTCCAGGCCAAGCTGGCCTGGAAAGCCCGAGGGTCCCTGTTTCTGACCCCTGATACAGGCCCTGGCTGTGAGGACATTGGTGCCGCCTGGCATGCTCAGATGACCTACACACGTCAGAAGTGGACCACATGGGTAGATGCAAAACGACTGACCAGTTATTCAGGAAAGACGAGAAAGAAGCTGTCGGTGACAAGAACACTCCCAGCAGCACCTTGTCCTGAAGTCCCCTAGAAGGTCACCTCCCATGACACCCGTTTGGCTGCCCGAGTCCTCAGGAGGCTGCGTCATCCTCTCAGGATCAGCCAACCCCAGGGAAGCTTTGCTAGGACAACTCAGGGACATCTGCGCCATGAAGGCCAGCATGGCCTCCGGGATGGGGCACAGCTGTGGATTTCTGGGGTCAAGGTGGGGCCGTGGGGTGAGTCTGTGTACAGGGGAGGACCGGCCTTGTGCTCAGTGACCCGGCCCATCTCAGCTGCTTGGCCCCTAGTGCAGGTACCAGGCTGGGGGTGGGTCAAGGACCACCTGGTGGTGACAGCTCTGCACAGTTTGGCCTCGTGTCTGCGTGCTTCTGTGTCTTGTTGAGCAGATGGAACTTTGAAAGGCGGCCTAAGGCCGCAGGGTAATCCTTGTTCCAGAAGTTCTTCATGCTTTGAAGGATTCCAGGTATGAATAGATATGAGAGCAAAGTTGGCAGTTACTGTTATTAAAGACTGATGTGCTTCAGACGAGGGACTCTGGAGACACACGAGCACAGCAATGGTGGCTCTACCAGTGAGCCAGGGCCAGCTCCTGCTCTGTGTCTCTAAGACCAGGGAACTGTACAGCACTGACTGTCTCTCGAGCTCATGTCTTGGGGACATGTGAAGGATGTGGGGACATCATTTCCTACATCCCCAGAGATTCACTGCTCTAGAAATAAGCCCCCAGCACCTTCCAAATCTAGTCAGGTGCCAGTGTGCCAAGTGCTGCTGTCACTTATGGGTCTGGCTGTTCTCTGCAGTGTTTGAAGCCAGTGGGACCAGCGGGACACGGCCATCTGGAAGCGAGGAGGGCGGGATCCTCGTGACCATCCAGCCAGCCTCACAGGCTGCTGGGGGGAGGCTGTGGTTTTATCCACACAAAGACACTGCCTGCCCCTGTGAGGGTCACAGTTGGTGAGCATGTGTCTGCCACTGTTCCCGCCACACTGGAAGCTGCACTCGGTGCTATTTGGGCTCCAAAGCTCGTTTTTCTTGGTATAGAGGGGTAGAAAAGAGCCAAGTACAGAGAGAGGATGGAGTCTCTGCACTTCAGCAGTGAGAAGCTGTGCGATGTGGAGGGCGTCCCCGCCATCACCGTGGGTCCCAGGGGATGAGGAGTGCTGTCACCGCCAGCCCCTCCGCCCCGTCTGAGGACAGCCTGGCCCCGAGAAGGCGCCCAGCAGAAGTTGGCAGTGACAGTGGGTGAGGAGACCCGAGGCTCTGCTCCAGGGGCAGCGTGCGCTCTGAACACAGCAGGAGCGCAGCAGGGTGGGTGCAAGCAGGGGCAGGGTGGTCTGCAGCAGTCCAGGCTGGCACAGGCAGCGGGGACCCATCGTTCACCTCGTCCCTCCCAGGGTCGGCGTGCCAGGCCCGGCTGCTGCATGATGGGCTGCTGTCCCCATGATGCTACCAGACCCATCTCTGAGCTGCTCTGGCCTGTGCTACACCCATGTGCACAGCACAGCAGGCCCCATGAGGTCTCAGAGGTGCTGGGACAAGAAGGATTCACCTGCCTTTTGTCAGAAACCAGCCTTCTTACAAGTATGGCCCTGGAGTCCCCAGAAGAGAGTTTTGGGGGAGGGGAGAATCACAGGATTTCCTGGTCATTCTTCGGATTCAGAACTGTGGGCAGGGGTGGGATGGGTGGTCTAGGAACCTGTCCTGAAGGAGTCCCCCCCCTCAACCCCACCTCAAAACCAGTGCTGGGTCAGGGCCTGCAGTTTGGTGGGCCACCACAAGAGGGCACCAATCCTCCCCTGCCCTGCCCCCCAAACAGGGGCCTCCCCTGCACCTTCAGGTGAACCTATAATTCTATCCTGCGGCCTTCAGTAGCAAGGGTGGGTTTGGGTTGTGGAAAGCACTCATGGGCCTCTGGCTTTCTCACAGAGGGACAGAAGTTGCCCCAAGCAGGCTAAGGAGGGAGCTGAGCTCAGGAAGACACAGCTCTGCCCACTGCCCAGAGCTCCTTCCTCTCAGAGCTCAATGTCTGGGAGAGGGGTGGGCAGGCAGGGAAATGGAAATGTCCAGCCAGTGGAGCCAGACTTTGTGCAGCAGTGGGTAGACTCTCATGCCCTTTAGTCCTTCCCACCAGTGACTTAGCTCCTCATCTCCCCTGGTGGACACAGGCAGAAGAGCAAGCTCAGCCCTGCACCCATGCCCTGTGCCCTCTGAGGTTGAGCAGGAGCAGGAGCAGCACTGTTGCTGCAGGGAGTGTGGAGACACGCTACGTGATGGATGTTTGTCGGGTGTGCCTCAGGGTCTACATAGGGTGTGTGGTGGATATGCTGACCCCCCCACCCCCCAGCCCTGGCTCATTACTGCTGGAGGCCTTGCCTGGCCCATGACAAGGGCTGCTCCAGCACAGCCTCCTGCATGACACAGAACCTGGGTTGTTCTGAAGATCATGAGGAGGGCCATGGGCAGCCCAGGATGGCTCTGCGCCGGGCAGGGCCTCAGCTGCTGGCCTTCCAATCCTGTAGCCCAGGAGCCCTTGGGATTGACCTTCCAGAAGCATCTAGGGCACTGCCCAGTTCCCAAAACCAGGGAAGAGAAAGAGACACATGGTAAGTGGCCTTGAGTTGGTGGTAGAGTTTGAGGAGGAGACAGAGGCTGAGATCCCATCTTCCTGCTCAGTAGGAGAGGGGAGGCATGGGCTGGATCACCAGGACAGAGCTGGGTGTCCCCAGCTGGATAAGGACAGAGCTCAGTGTCCACAGCTGCCCATGCAGGAAGGCTCCATGCCACCTGCCTGGCTATGATCTGTGAGTCTCAGGCAGCTGTGGAGTCCAGGCCAGGACTGAGCTGACAAGGGGAGGAGAGTGGATGGGGTCTTCTCCCTTCAGGGTCAGGAGAGGCAGCCAATGATGCCAGGGCTGGACAGTAGCATGGATACCAAGGCTGGGCTGGAGGCTCCGGGAACAGAGAAGGCAGCATTGGGTGGCACAGCCATCTCTGTGGGAGTGGCTGTGGGGAGGGAGTGGGTGTGGGGAGCACTCCCACAGGGACTTGGGTCGTGGTGGATCCTGGGCCTAATGCTGGTGTCTGAGCCATAGGACCCCAGAATTCCCAGACCAAATGCAGTTATAGGATTCAGATGGATTCAGGGCCATGGAATGAGGTCCCTACCAAGGTCCTGTGCCAGTCCTGCCTGCCCAGCACAGGGACTCGTGAATGTGAAGGACAATGAGGGACACTGGGACCTGGAGTCCACACATGCTCCTGGGTGCTAAGGACGTCACAGAAACCACATGGAGACAGATGCGAAGGTTACGCTGAATGGGCCAGCTTGGCCTGTGTTTAATGCCATCAAGGAAGGGACCTGCCCAGAGAGGTCACTGCTGTGTGGGGTTCACCACTTTGCCCACGAAGAGGGGACTCTCAGTACCTATATCAATGAATAGGGCAAGGAATGGGTGGTTAAATATCACCTCAGGGGGAAGAGACATGGGAATGGCTTCCAAAACGGTGGCCCCTGCAGCCTCGGTTCCTTTCTCATCCAGGGTCAGCACAGCCTTGTGCACAGCCTGCAGGAGAGATGTGGAGATGGCTTCTGACCTGTGCTCTCATGCTCTGCACACCACCCAGCCCAGACCCAGGCTGCAGACAGCTCCAGGGCCGGCCTCCCTAGAGCATCTCACCAGGAAAGTCCTGCTGCCCACCCACCCTCACCACTGGCCACACAGGCCTCTGTCTGTCCAACCCTAGCTTCACCTGGCTGCTCCCTTCGTCTCTCCCACCCAGAGCTCAGAGTAGAGACACCCTGCACTCCATGTCTCCTGCACGTGGCTCCCCCTCATTGAATGCTGGGAGCTCGTTGGACAGGTCTGAAGGTGACCTTCACAGGACCCTGTTCCCACCGTGTGCAGACGTGCTGCACTCATGTCTTTTGGTATTTTCTCTTTCGTGAACAAAAGGCTTTGGGAGGAGCTGATGTTTCTAATTTAGATTTGGTAGTGAAACAGCCCTTCTAGATGCTGCATGTGGAAAACTCTAGAACATTCTCTGATGTCAGTAATTCTAAGCTGAGTGGAGAAATGAGCCCAAGGACTCCTGGGCTCTGGGTGAAGAAGAGAGTGAGGGTCTGAGAGACACCTCTGAGCAGTTTCCCAGCACATGAGCCAAATGGATGGCTGCCTTTCCCACTGTCTCCTGCACCCGCCCTCTCACGAGCCCTCAGAGCTCAGCCTGGACCTTAGTGGTGATGTGGCCCCGTCCTCAGCCCCGTGCCCCAGCTATGAACCCCAAGATCCACTTAACACCCAGAAGCCATCTGGGAAAATGCCCTCATCGGGTGACCTCACCTTGGAGACCTTCAGTGGGGCATCCGTGGTGACCTTGGAAAGGTCAGCACCGTTGCTGAAGACCGTGGAGATGCCCAGCGCGCTCAGGACTGGCTCCAGGTCATAGGTTCCAGAGATGGACAGTTTGGGGAAGTATATATCTGCAGACCTGCCATGAGGGAAAGATCACAAATGAGGATTTCAGCATCTCTCCCAATGTGCCAGGAATTCCATGGGAGGCTGGCTTCTTTTCTAGCTTTTCCACCCACAGTGCCCATGCTCCACCCACAGCAGGATAGAAGCTCCTCGGTGTGTTATACTCTTGTTTCTTCTATGCCCAGTGACAGTGGAGTTTAATATCAGTGGACTCCCCATGTCCTGGAAGAGGCTGAATTGCCCCTGCCTCTGAGAAGTTATGCAGGCAGATGCAGAGTGAGCTCCTGGAGTCAGGGTCATCCTGCCCTGTGTCGTTGTTCATCTGACCTCTGCAAGGGACACACCTGAACTTCATCTGTGCACAAGCAGCAGAGTGCTGTCTACCTCTCATCAAGGAGAGAAAATGTCCCCCGATGCTGAAGGCTGGGCCTCTGTTAGTGTCTGGCCCTCAGGCCCTGCAACTGGTTCTGGCCTCAGCCTGGCCTTGTGGTCTGTGCTCAGCCTGGGTTCAGGGTCTGATGAGGAGCCAGCTGGAGTGGAGTGGTGACCCCTCTGCTCACGGTGGGCCTTGCCTTGTGTCTGCTGTGTTTCTGTGTCTCACAGCGTTCACCACTCTTCCGTGCAGCAGGCCCTGCTCACTGCTGATTCACCAGTGTGTGCTGACCCGAGGGCCAGGCTCTAGGGTGATGGACACCTAGGAGTGGATAAACCACTGGTCTGGGGTCAGAGCAATGGAGCCTCCTGCCTGAGTGTCCAGCACTGTCTCATGCTGACCTTCCATGTTCTGGACCTTCCCATGGCCATCCTGGACTCTTTCCCTTAGTCCACTGTCCACTGTGCCAGAGTTCGACCCATCACAGGCCTTGGTGCTGTGGCCTCTTCTGCTGTGCTGTCCCTGCATTGGACAGTGGGTCTGGGGAAGGTCTGTCCTCTGGGTAGGACACCCCCAAACAGTGTGCGGGCTCCCCACTCTCAGCACTGTCTCTTCCCAAGCCCCTACTGCTTCTCCCTGAACTGAGCACACTCTGTATCTTTCAGCACAAGGTCACACACTTAGCTAGGGCTAAGGGCTGCTCCCCCACCTCCCCCCCTTCTGTCTTGTCCTGATGGTCAGCCCTGACATGGCTCAGAGGTATGGGCTCTTGGGCCAGTCCCCGCCTGAGGTGTCACCTTATGTCAGTTTTGCGCAGGAACTTGCTAATGATGCTTGTGTTGAGTGTGGCCTCCAGGTGTGACATTTTGCCCTGGTCTGGCAGGAAGAAGATGGCGGTGGCATTGCCCTGGTAGCCCATCAGTAGGACCCAGCTGGACAGCTTGCTGCAGTAATGGACTCGGAACATGCCCATCCGGTGCATCATGGGCACCTTCACCACGGTGGCCTCATCCACATGGAAGTCCCCCTCGCTGGTTTGCTCTGGGTTGAAAGGTTTCTCCCACTTGCCTGGATTGGAGGGGGACACAGGTGGTTGGGCTTAGGTTTAAGGGATCCAGGAGACTCTGGTGTCTGTGGTGAGACTTGGAGCTCAGCTGGGTCAAGCACAGGAGATCTGTCTGGGCTCAGCCGTCCTGACCACCCTGGGGACTCAGTGATAAGAGGAGATAGGAAATTTCTGTGTCACCTGAGAGACTGCCCCCCTGGCTGATCAGGAGACACCTGCATTTGCATATATGATTATTAAGAGGAGCATTACAAAGAGAGTTTGGATTACAGGTCATATTTGGCACCTGCTCACTGGGACTCTTCTCCTCTGTGAATCGGCCTCCCAAATAACCCTTTGGGGCACTGACTGGTATGTTTCCATGGGAACCAGCTGGGCTGGCTGTGAAGCCTTACCTTTAAAGAGAATGTAATTCACCAGGGCAAGCACGGTGTCTTTGTCCAGGTCTTTCACCAGATCCACAATTTTCCCCTGTGTTCCCTTCTCCACGTATTTGTTGATCTGCTTCTTGGCTTCTTCAGGGTCAGTGAAGTCAACGGTGAAGGCCTCTGACTGGTACAGGTTCTTCACATCCATCAAAAATGGCTCCAGGAGCTTCAGGCTCTCATGGAAAAACAAGCCACTGCCTATGGTCAGCTCGAGCTTGTTGCTGGGCCTGTTGAGGGAGTGGAGGAGGCTCTGGAAGCCTGCGTGGACATCTGCCTCTGACATCTCTGTGAGGTTGAAGCCCAGGCCCTCCAGGATCTCTGAGTGGGTGGCACCCTTGGTGCCCAGGGAGAGCATGGCAAAGGCCGCGGCGATGTTCACAGGAGAGAAGAAGATATTGGTGGTGTTGGATTGCTTAGCCAGTTCCCGGTACAGGCTGAAGGCGAAGTCAGCCAGTTTTGGGGTGATCCTGTGAAAGTCTTGGTGTTTCTGGTCCTGCTGGGAAGCAGCAGTCTCCTGAACATCTTCAGCCAGGTGGCCGGGAAACAAGCAGCACAGGCTGGCCAGCAACAGGAAACCCCAGGAGAAAGAGGACGGCATTGTCCTGCAGGACAGAGAAAGGGACACAGCCCCAAGGCAGGGCCACAATCATCCCATCGGTTCCTCACCATGCAAGAGCATGAAAGCCCTTTGCTGTGTTTTTGCCACTGAACAAAGATGAGTCAAACTATAGATAAGGTGCAATAGTGCCAGCTGCCCAGCCCTGTTCCTTTGTCACACTGGAGCTCTCTGCTTGTCTCGGCCCCTGTCCTGTGCTTACATAGGAGGAAGCAGAGCCAGGACCTGTCCTGGAAACTCCTTGGTCCTCCTTCGGCCTGCACAGCAGACTGGCTAGGAGGACTTAGCTAGGTCTGCTAAGGAGCCCTGCCATGGATGGTCTCAGGAGCTGGCATGGGGTGAACACCCATCTGCAGGGGCCGTCAGGTGAAGGAAGTATGTCTCATGACTGGGATGAGGCATGAAGGAGTGGCATGGCCTGTGGCTGAGCCTTTGAGAGCAAACTCTGCCTTGGGAAGGTCACAGTCAAGGTCACACCTAGGAGCACAGTCAGTTTTTTCCTACAAACTCCCTCTGCTTCAAACATCCTGAACCCAGTGCACCCACATTTATATGACCTGTGCGCTCTCTCTGTCTCTCCTCCCTCCTCCACACACACACACACAGTTTTATATTGGTACTGGTGCTTAAACTCAAGGCCTGGATGCTATCACTTAGTTTTTGTTTTGCGTTGCTTTGGTTTTTGCTCTTACCACTTGAACCATAGCTCCACTTCTAGAATTTTTTGGTGGTTAACTGGAGATAAAAGTGTCTGGGATTTTCCTGCCTGGAATAGCTTTAAGCCGGGATCCTCAGGGTCCCAGTTTAGAGGCGTGAGCCACCACTGCCTGGCTATAACCTGCTCTCTTTCTAGATGGACAAACAGAGGGAAGAGTGCCTGTAGCCTACTATTTACTATTTTCACACAACTAAAATTCCCATCTTGGTCCTAATACTAAATACTACACATGGTCCTGGCACAGAGCTGCTTTCTTCCCAGAACTCTGCTGTTGTTTCTTTGCTGGCCTTCAAGTCTCTAAATAACCCCCAAAGAGCTGAACCACATATTGCATAATACATCTTGACATTTTGGCATTTCTCTTAAACTAGCCAGTGGAGACGGTGATAAATTTAGTTCTGTGTTTTTCCACCTCTTTTAGATTTCTGTCTGCACTGTGGCACAGCTCTCTGGAAAGTTCCTCCCTTCACAGGCCTAGTGACCGTGGAGAGGTCAAATACCCCAGATGGGCACAAAACCCCTTGAATTACCCTGGCTTCAAACCTGGACCAGACCACCCCTCTGAGCTAGCAATGTCCTTGGTCATCCCTGTCCTTAGCTATGTGATTCAGAGCTCAGAGAGGCCGAAATCATACAGGTCCTTATGAACAAAGTTGGGTTATCTCAGTTTGCCTAAGCAGAATCTTTAAAGAACTGAGCTGTGGAGCCCCTGCTGGAGCTGCTAGGCTGGGGGAGGAGGAGAAGGGGTGACTGCACCCCGCCCACCTAACCACGTCCTGTCCCATCCCCTCTGCTGCCCTCTACTCTCTGTAAAGAGTCTGAGACCCAGAGAGGGTCAGGTCTGGTCACATCTACCCCGAGGGCCAGAGGCAAAGGAGGACAAAGCTTTGTCTGTCCTGCACTTGACCACAGGCCAGGTGGTAGGATTGAGCCCTGCTGCTGAAACCAGGCCACAGCGAGATCGTTTGCATCCAGGCACTGAACAAGCGCTGGTGTGGGCTGCCCTGCCTCTCACTGCTGGCCCCTGGGCAGAGCCTCCCTGAGCCTCCCTTCCTGACTCCACTGTGGGAAGAGAACCTCTGAAGGAAGAGCAGCAGCACAAACAAGACCCTGACCAGGCGGGCACAGACACGTGTGGAGGCCTCTACCCCTGGCGTGAACGCTCACCTGAGACCCAGCCAATTGCTTCCTGGATACCTACACCTTCCCCATGGCATAAACCAGCTCCTGCTGAGCAGTGGACCACCCCTGAGCCTGAAACATTCCCCACACAAGAACATTTCCTGTCTGCCTCCTGACCCCAGGCGAAGCTCATGTGGAGCACCAGCACTGCCACCACCACCCTGAGCACCCTGTGCGCCTCCTTCATCCAGTCCTCCCTCAGCGCTCACCCTGGGACATCCAAGTTCTCACCGTGCAGTCTTCTAGGAGGAAACACTGAGGCCCAAGCAGCTTCGGTAACTCATGACAGAGCCAAGTGCCTTAGAGCTAGGACTTTATCCTAGAAATTTAATTCTAGAACCTAGCACTCCACCTTCTCTATACGCTAAGGTAGAGTCAGAAGACGTGGACAGCAAGGCTTGGAGGTGACCTGGTTGCAGGAAGAGTGACGGGGTTGCTGTGGCAAACATGGCAGGCCAGGCACCTGGGAGCCATGGAGGCCTGCAGGCAGAGGCCCCATGGGGGTCTTCCTCATAAGATAGGGATGAGCCTGGGCCCCTGGCGTCCCCTCTGGCCTTACCCTATCTGTACACAGAGAAACCCCTGCTCTCCCCTACCTCTCACCAACCCGCATCCCAGAAGTGGTGTCAGTAGCAAGAGGCACCTTTAAACCCAGGCACTGCTGTGGCCCAGTCTTGGCTTCCCCGGCCTGGGGACAGGGCCTCTCCTGCCATGCCTATGCCTCACCAGGAGACTGCCCAGGAACTGGGAGGCCTGGGAAGAGGCAGGACCACAGGGCCTGCATTACCATGAGACCTCGCCTGGCTGCAGCCAGCCCTATCCCCTCTGCCTCCCTGGGGCCCAGGCCTGCTGCCTGCTGGGTGGTGCAGGGAACTGGGGGCCCATTGAGCTCTCCCCGAGGGCGGGCGTACTTACGGCTCACTGTGCCAGAGGTGTCGCCGGGGGTGTCGTGGGGACAGAGGCTGAGGAAGCATAGCCCTGTCCTTGGCTGTATTTAAGCAGGGGATGGAGAGGGGCCTGGGGAGGCTGCTAGTGAATATTAACCCAGGTCACCCCAAGTAGCAGAGGAGCAAACAGACTAAGGGACTAAGTCCATTGGCTAAGTGCTGAGCCTTGTGCCCGCCCACGCTGCTGTCATCCCATGGACAGTACCTGGCCCTGGGCCCCACAGCCATGGGGAGTTGTGACACCCTGGCCAATGTCCATAGCTTTCTGGGCCCAAGGTGGAGTGGGTGGCACTAGTTAGATGGCCTCTGGGACATGATATGGCTTTGCCTGTGTGACCCGTTTCCCCTGTGTTGGTGGCTGAGGTCCCATATTCAGAGTGTGCTGGTCAGGACGTACACAGATCTTGAGTGCAGGCCCCCCGTGTGGGGGAGGGGCTTTGTTCGGGTCTGTCCAGGCGCTGTCCACGCTGCCATCCAGCGGCTCTGAGCAGGAGGAGGTTCCATGTCCCCTGTCCTGGCCTGTTTAGTCTCTGGGAAGCCCAGTGACATGCATTGGCCACCTGACATTTTCCTGGGAATGAGGCCTCATCCTGGGCAGGGCTGGTGGCTTTGCAGTCCAAGGTCAGAGTCTGTGGGTCTCCACTGATGGTGGACTTTTGTAAACCCTGGATGGAGGCCTGACTCTCCTGTGCAGCCCCGGGCTGGCCCATGCCCAGGGCGGCAGTGCAGGTGTGGGGTGGACCCTGGAACATTTCACCCTTCTCTCTCTCACCAGCATGGCAGTCCCTCCACGGCGAGCTCTGCCAGGGCGATGTTCCATGGTGGGGACCTACTCGTTGTGGGAGAGCCCTCGGGTATTTCTGAGAGCTTTCTGTGCCTCCGTGTCCTCATCTGTAAAATGGGGACCATGACAGTAGGTACCTTGGTGGTCTGTGGGAGGCCTGGATGCAGAGTCCAAGGACGCCCAGAGCCTGGTGCCCAGGGCACTCAGGCAGCCCTTTGTGATGGTGCCTGGTGGTGGGTGGGGTTGAGGTGCTTCCTCTAGGCGCACTCTGTGTGGGTGTCCCCAGTGGACTCTGTGGGCGACTCTGCACCCCACTCCCCTTGCAGGAAAAGGGAGACTGGCCTCAGCGATTCTCCTTGCTCTCTCTCCCATGCGGCCCCCATCACTGGCTTCTGGTCTTGGCCTAGGCTCTGTCCCTGCGTGCACTCAGGCTTGGGAAGCCAGGCTGAGGCTGGGCTGCCGGCTGACCTCCCCACTCCTTCCTCCTCGCCCCTCCCATCTTGGGCCTCCAGTTTCCCATCTTACAACGGCCTCCCTGGCAGCCCGGCTGCCCCTCCCATCTGTGCTAGGTGGGCAGCCACAGGTGCCCTGTGTGTCCTGTTTTCCCACACTCTGCCCCTTCAGGTAGGTGAGTGGCCTAGAGGTGCTGGAAGATCCCCTACCTGGAATTCCTGGTGTCTCTGTCCAAGCCGCCTGTAGCCCAGACCCCTCCTCAGAGCTGGGCAGGTCAGATCAGCATTCCCAGGGCTGCAGTGAGGGTTTTGCACCACCCAAGCTCCCAGCTTCCTCTTCTGCCAGCATTGCCCACGGACGTGGTCCAGGAAAGGCCAGGACCTGAGAGAGGAAGGGACTTCCCTCTGCCAGGTACACAGGAAATCAGCTCTTCCTGGCCCTGGCAGGCCTCTGGGCCACCTTTAGGACCTGCCGTGTCTGAGCTGTGTGACCCTGAAA